GTGTTGGTGTGTGTGTTGGTGTGTGTTGGTGTGTGTTGGTGTGTGTGTGTGTGTGTGTGTGTTGGTGTGTGTTTTGGTGTGTGTGTGTGTGTGTGTGTGTTGGTGTGTTGGTGTGTGTGTGTGTGCATGTGTGTGTGTATCCGTAGCCCCCAACCCTCAACCGCCAACGAAAAGGACGCCCGAATTTTTGGACGCCGAAGAATTGGGAGCCGGTACGCTCCAGGAATATTCCTGCTTAGGGTTGGGGTTCGGGGCTTAGGTTTTCATTTTGAAGGTGAGCGAACAAGAGAATGCGTTTGCTCAAGAAGTATTGGGGTCTCGCATTGATGACTAAACCCTAAACCCAAAACCCTTTCCTAGGCACATGCCCGGGAAGACCAAGCTCCAACACTCCTGGGCCACTCCCTAAACCTTGAACCCCGCGTCCTTGCGGCTTAGGGTTTAGGGGGTTTAGGGTTTGCCTGAACCCCAAACCGTCTTTGGGCCGCGAAACGCTGCAAGTCCAAATTGGCCAGGGTCAGCAACCGCGTTGGGACCTTCGCTGACGTTGCTCGTGAGTACCTCTCGGACATTCAGCTGGTGGCCATGCTCTCAGAGACCTTGGGGACCGTGTATTGCTTTTACGGTTTAGAGTTTAGAGTTCATACGCTGAGACACTGTAGTAGGGATTGCAATAGGGAAGTAGTACGGTACCCATTTTTGGGGTTGCTCCCCAAGGCTTTGGAGTGCACGCGTGCACGTAATGACATGGAAGCGAACGGATCCGCAGCCATGCGAAGGATCCGACAGGTGCCTCTTTTCGAAAGGTAGAGACTGAGAGCGAAAAGTAGAGTCTGCCATGGAGCAACGGAATATGCATTCCTTTGCGGCGCTTGTGCAAGCATGTCTGGATGCGGGTGTACACCCGAGCGTGATCGAGAAGTTCGAATTAGCAGGAGTTACTTCCCTCGAAAAGCTTCGCAGGGCGTGGCAAGCTGACGACGGGGAAGCGGCTTTCTTTGCGAATGCGGAGGCAGTCCTTTTCTTCGTGTTCGGACAAAGCTTTGCCAGTCAAGCTAGGCGTAGGACTGCGGGAATTTTGTGGTGTGCACGGGTGCACTGAATGACATGTACGAGCGAAACACGCCGCTGGGACTGCCGCAGCGTTTGCGCTCATGTTTGCAAAAATTTCGCCGCAGTGCTGAAATTTTTCAAAGCCCTCCCACTCCGCCCTTATAGATGGTGGGGTGCCGACTGAACGATGCGCAGTTGTACTTTTGTCACTTGCGCATGTCATGTTCAGCCAGACGCCGCCTGCCACATGATTGCCATCCTTGGAAAAGTTCGAGGGTTGCGTTGCGTTGTGTAGCGAGATGTCAGAAGGGCCTCGCAAGAGGAAGCGGAGCGACGTACCGCGGCCTCAAACTTCAGCAGGTGGATCGTTGCAGAAAGCACTGGATGCAGCGCAACCAGCAAATCGTGAGCGCGCAATGCAGCAGTACCAGCAGGATGTGTGGGCCAACAGTTCCAGGGCGTCGCAAGATGCGCGTCTGCGTACTCTGGAGTCTGTGGCTTCGGCGTGGACGATTAGCCTCACGCCAGTGACCAAGGATGTTGTGGACAAGATTGCCGCAGCCCTCAAGAGTGGAGGATATAGGTCAGTGCGTCAATACTTCAGTCGCCTTCGTCGAGTTCACGTCGAGCGAACTCATTCTGAGCTATCCGTGGAAGCAGAGTTGGCGTTAAAGGATGCTGTTCGTTCCGTTGAGCGTGGCGTGGGTGGGGCTGCGCTTAAGGATTCCTTCGAGTTGGAGAGCCTCTTTCACGACAGCGAGCGAGTTGGCGCCTTGGCGCGAGCCATCGTCGTCATTGGGGCGTGGTTCTTGTTGCGTGAGATTGAGTTAGTGGCCTTACGGCGTGGTCATCTGCTGTTGGACCGTGAAAAAGAACAAGTTTCGTTGACGTTGTGGGCTTCTAAGACTGACACTGTCGGGAACCTTGTGATGAGGACACACAAGTGTTGTTGTAGCGTGCTGTACGCTGGAGTTTGTCCGTACCATACTGCCCTCGCCCTCGTCGATGACTTCAAAGGCGACCATAGTGACCCGCTGTTTGCAAAGATTCCTGGCGAGGAGTTGTTGAAGAACGAGACGGTGGACATCATTGGGAAAGTACTCAGCGAGCATGGCGTGGCGTTGACCAGGCCAGGGTCAGATGGCGTCACCCATGTGCAACGCTTTGGTGGCCATGTGCTTCGAGTTGCTGGAGCGCAATTCCTGACGCGTTTGTTAGTGCCGCTTCCTACTATCATGCTCCTGGGTCGTTGGGGAAGTCGGGCCATCGAGCGCTATGTGCAGGAGGCCGCTCTAGATGGCTTTGAGATCCTTGTCAGCCGAGCTCGTTCAGGTGCTCAGGGCGACGACCGGCCAGCTGCAGCAGGCGAGAGCAGGCAGGAGGAGTTGCAAGAAAATGCTGCCGCAAACCTGCTTGCCATAGAGGAGTTGCGCAAGAAAGTGGAGACGTTGTGGCCATTGTCAGTGGAGAAGATGCAGGAGCGCCCGCAGTTCATCGTCGCAAAGAAAGCCCATCGCCGGGATGCTAACGAGGCGACAAAGCTTCCCCGGCAGTGGCGCGCGGTGGGGTGCGGCTGGAGCTACGGGACTGCAGAGTTCCGTCGAAGTGCAAGTCTTCAAGGCTTGGTGCAGTGCAAGAGGTGTTTTGCGATCGTGCCAGATCCTGAAACCACGGAATCTGAGAGCGAGTCAGAGTCCGGAAGTGCCAGCTCTTCCACTGATCAGGAGGAGAATTGACAAAGCCCGTGGGCTGCTTGCGCTGGCCGTGCGAGGCAGTGCTGTGCGAAGGGTTGACCCGTGCCAGGGCAACCAGGCAAGGAGAGAAGAGTAGGCTGTGGTCGCGCAGACTGTCAGCTAGTGAAGACTTATTCGAAGACCAAGTTCGCGCGTGCTTGCGTGAGACCATCTTGAGCGTTGTGCGTCTCATTATTTGTCTTGTTTGCTGCGTGTTGATGTCGTAGGTAACTCAGCCAGCCGGCAGTTGAGAGCTGAAGGGGCTTGCGCGTGCCCGCCAGCGCTTGCAGTTGTTCGACTCGTAGTCTGAACCGTGACCAATTGATTTGCCTTTCCCTAATTTGTAATCGTGCTGAGCTTGAGCGATTAGGTGAAGTGCTTGTGCGTCCAATTCTTCGTTGTTGCTGTTATAGCTGACTGGGCCCACGTGCGTTTGTGTAGCTTCAGAAACCTCAGGAGCACTTTCGATTCACTGGTGGCCATGGCGTCCAAAAGCGAGGCTGAATTCGGCAAGTTAGCGGACGAGGCGGGTTTGCCAGCCAACATCAAGAAGTACTTCAAGGTCAGAGGGGTGAACTCCATAGCGCTTTTCGCAGCTCTGGCTGACAAGCCGGAGGAGCTCAACGAGGCCATCCTCGACCCGTTGCAGAAGGGCTTTGAAGTGGAAAGGGGCAACACCGTCAAGATCGAGCAACTGGACCTTCCCATCGTGCGGGCAAAGTTTAGGGTGCTCTGGCGCGAATGTGCGAAACGAGAGGGATTGGCCTCTCTGCCATCAACGGCGGCGGCCCCGGTGCCAGCTGCTACATCCTCGGCGGGATCATCCAAGAGTTCGAAAGAGCTACCCCCTGGTTGGTGGCAGATGAAGATCGCGGAATATGAATCAGTGGTCGTGGCAGGGGCTCACAGGAAGTTTCCGCAAGAAATGCTCCTGGGAGCAGAGTCGGTTCTGGCCCGCATGGTCAACGAGATGAAAACCTTGCAGCACACAGCGGTAGGCCTGCAGGAGTTCGTGCAGGCCCGCTTCTTCAACGCAGCGGGCGAGCCGAACCCTCTGAATTCAGCTAGAAAGAAGTCCAGGCAGGGACTTACTGTTCTCACAGTGAACGAGGAGAATCAGTTGGAGGCTGAGCCTGACGCGCCGTGGTACCCAAAGAGTTCACTTGCCTTCATTGATTGCTTAGAGTCCATTCGCTTTGCGTACTTGCTGGTAGGGATTGGCAAGGAGCAGGCCGTCGATGTCTACGTTGATTGGTGGATTCGGCAAGTGCGAAGTCGACAGCAGAAGTTGGACCAGCTGCGAGTGTATTGGGAAGTCACGTCGTGGAAAGTTGCCATCGCACTGCGTGCCAAGATACCGTTTGAGGATGTGACCTCCGACCTCATGAAAGACACTCAGGCGCTCCAGGACTTGGGTTTGCTTAGCAAAGGCTCCAAAAGAGCAATTCGAAAATTGAAAAAATCATAAACGAAAAGCAAAAGGCTTAAGCAAACCGTGGGATTCTTGATAGGGGTCGCTTGGAATGAAAACACCATGCTTGTCCACCATCTTTGTGAAATTTCCTGCTACAAAATACAAGTTTGTCCCATCATTTTGGCTAAGGTTTAAAAGCTTGGAAAGGGGAGAGTGATGGAACACACACACACACACGTACACTTGCTATCATGAGTCAGTGTTTGCGAGCGTGTGTTGTGTCGAGATCACACACACATGATGCGTTTCCGTTCTTGCGAAGGATGGGTGTGTGTGTGTGTGTGTCTCACGCTGTGCCATCGCATTTCAGGCAGGCAGGACGCATTGGCCTCAGTCCGCGAGTTTCCTGAGTGAGCATTAATAAAGGGCTTAGGCTTAAAGGGCTTAGTTCGACCTAGGTGCTCAGAAGTTTATATTGTATCGCATGCTGGGCTTGCCGCAAGGCCCTCATTTCTGAAGCATTGGCCTCAGTCACCAAGCAAAGCCCTGAGACCGACAATAATCCCGAACCCTACACCCGAACTAACCCCCAAACCCTTAACTTTAACACCCTAAATTAAACCCTAAATCTTTAAACCCCCAACCCCTCAACCCTAAGCCCAGCCTAAACCCTCAACCCTAAGCCCACACCCTAAGCTCTAAACCCTATTCCTTGGGCATTCTTGGGTGTGTTCTGTTTCTTTCGGGATTTACAGGTACACTCCTTAGCTAAACCCTAAACCCCTAAACCCAGCATCTGTTCAGGGCCCTGCAGGCAAGCCCGGCTTCTTCATGGACACGCCGTCGTAGAAGGCGCTGTGATAGCGCCTAGGATGTAAAAGCACTGTGATAGTGCAGCGTAAAGCGCTGGGATAGCGCAATGAGCATGAACAGCACTGTGATAGTGCAGGGGTCCGAGCGCTGTTATAGCGCAATACTGAAAGACCGCTGTGATAGCGGCAATGTGAAGTTTGAGGTTCTGGCAACATAGACCACGAGCATGCCGAGGCCTCCAACACACAACAAAATCAGTGTCGACACTGAGCAAGCATCAACGATCTTGCACCGAATCTTACTCTTGTAGTCAAATGTCAGCAGCCCGACCTTCACAAGTGCACTCTCCCAGGTGCGAACGGCTGCCTCAGTCGGATTGGCTCATTTTTGGCACGCCCCTATCTCAGTGGCAGGTGTCAACCTAGCAATCAGCAAACGACAACAGGCAGGGTTAGCAATGAAATCGCACTTTTCACTCTCCACACCAGGGCTTTGTAAGTCAGCAATCGCAAGTAGTGTCAGGAACCAAGGCCCGAGATCAGACCGGTCACCCTCGAAGCAGCCTTCGTTAATTAAATAGCAGCCATGTCAATCAAGCTTCATGTCTATACTGTTTTGTCCTGCGTGTAACCCATAGCTAGCAGCTTGAGGGTTCAAAGTCACAAGGCTCTGCGGCTCATTCTGGCGACGCCAGCTCTGTTGGCACCTGTGACGGCGAAAGCTGCTCCTGAAACATCGACGCGTGTGACTGTGTTCTAAGGCACTGGGCTTGCCGGTGTCCTCGTCCGCACGGCCAGCAGGCGCACGGCCAGCAGGCGAAGTTGGGGTGGGTGGATCCTCGGAGCTTCAGTAGATAGTTGCTTAGTGACAGTGCTCAGTCTTCTGGGGAGTCTGCTGCAGCAACAAGCCCCTGAAGCTGACGATGCAGAAGCTCATCACGTAGCGCCTTCAAGGCGAAGTCACTTGCGTCAAACTGTAGCCGGAACATTGATAGGTCAGCGAAGCCTGCTCAGACTGCTGCTGCACCAGGAACTCCTCATGCTGTGCCTGCAATGCAAATGTTTTGGAAGGTGCGGGCTTCAGGTATGTTGAGTTGAACATGTGTCGGCGAGTCCTGCAAGCTTTCTAGATCTTGCTTCGTCTTCTGCAAGTCTGTCGACAGAACGCAATTGACCTCCTGCGATAGCAGTCTCTGCTACAGGCTACAGGTATGGATGTTGAACATGAAATTTAATCATGGCGGGTCCTGCAAGCGTTCAAGCTCCCGGTTTGTCTTCTCAAGCTCCTGCTTCGTCTTCAGCAAGTCTGTCGACAGACCCATGTTGGCCTCCTGTCATAGCAGTTCGATCAATTTAGCTTCCTGGGCTGCATGGAACTCAGTCCTGCAGGAACGCGTGGTCAGCCAGCTTCTCCGTGATGCGCTGCTCGTAGGTAACCTCCCCAGATGGGCAACGTGCAAAGGATTCTGTGAAGTTGCTTGGTTGACTACTCTAGTTCCCCTGTCCTTAAGCAGCAAGAGCTCACTGGCGAGGGCATCGTTCTTGGCCTGGTCAGGGCTAGGGTTTAACACTGAAGCAGGCAAGGGTGCATGATTGTCGTCCCGGACCTGCAGCGAGTCGCTAGCCATCTTTGCACGCTCGGCTTCCTTGTGGAGAAAATGTGTCAATGGTATTGCTGTGAACAAATAGTACACATATAGGCTCTACTACACTGCCTTCTCGCGGGCAGCATCGGCAGTCGTCTTCTCCTTTCGCAGACGCGCGATCTCACGGTCTTTCGCCTGTTTGACGATCCATTGTCGAGACAAGTCCAGGGAATAGTATCAAACTGAACGTCCAGCCTTGATCACGCCCTCGTTCGCCGTCTTGAGCTTGCCATGCTTTGTCTTTTCCTCCTACCCAGTAGTGTCCAAGGCTTGAGCCCCAGAATCTTTTACGGTTGACAATGTACTAGTGTGAGCCGGCCTCCAATGCCGCCTTCTCTTTGGCAACGGTCTCCTCCAGTTCCTTAATGCGCACCTGAACCATCGACACTGCTCAGCCTGTAATTACATCGACGTTTCGTGGGAAAGTCTAAGTAGAAAGTGTTTGCCCGTCAATGTGGCCAGCCTTTCCAGCTTCGGCCTGCATCCCCAATTTGAGCATCTCCGAGAGGGGGCCCTCAGCCTTGAGCTTCCTCACTGTCGCCTGGACAAGGCTTCTTATTATGGGTCCTTGATTTAGGCATGTTCGGCAGGCGTCAGGGTCCCAGCTATTTATGCAGCAGGTATCCAGCCTTCTCATCTTCGAGGGCTTTGTCTGTCTTCGCCAAGCGCTCCTCGAAACAAGCTGGATGCTGACAGCTAGCATGACCAATGACATGCAGTGACTGAGACATTATCCCCAGCCTCCAGCTGTGGCACTCGGCATGCATGGTAGTTCAGGTTGTCGATCTTCTCGTTCAGCGTGCCGATCTGCTGGTTCAGTGTGGCCACGTTCGCCTGGTCACAGGCGTGAGAGAATGGTTGGCCTTCGACACACCCTCCGTTTTCCTCCTCCGTGGGGGGGGGGGGGGGAGGGAAGAGGGGAGGAGAAGGGAAGGAACAAGGCATCAAAAGTATTCAAGGTTGGCCACAATAATGACTTAAGCAAGACAATAATACGCTTGACATGGTCTCAAAAGGGTCTCCCAGCCTTGGCTGCCCCCAACTCCTTGCGAAGGAGGTCCCTCTCCTCCTTGAAAGGCTCCCTCTCCAGCTGCCTCTTAAAGTGACTCTTGGTTCTCTTCCGAGCATCCTCCGTCGTTCTGTCGCCCCAGTAGTCCGCCATGCTCGGCTCACCGCCATCGTCTTGAACTTGGTCTTGGCCACTGTACCGACGCGAGCTGCCAGCCCCTTCCCATTGGTTGCCGCCCCAGTCACCCTGCCTTGACATCACCTCTACGGAACAGAACCACAGCGATGAAAATGCTGCAGAGACAGAAACTGTTCAGCGCCAGTAATTAAACGATCAAGCATGCGGCGTGCGCAGACATGTCAATGTCAGATTGCTGAGAAAGCCGTGACATGCACCACGCTGCTGTGTGCTTGACGGCGGTCCACAACACTTCCATCGCTGAGGCTCCTGCTCATCTTGGCCTTGTCCTGTGCCCAGAGCCTCAACAGAACACACTTTCAAGGCTAATGATTTACGGCAGTGGAGAGGGATAGGAGAGTGCAACAAGCCGCAAGCTCTCGTGCAAGCAATGCTCTGGTCTCGCAGATGAATTCTGGCTAACAGTTGAGTGTAGTGTAACAGCCGAGACAATGCACTTGGCATTGCCTGACTGAGTCTCTGACTGAGGCAGGAAGGTCACGACACAGTTTTCGACCTGGCCAAGGCGCATGCATTGTCTTGTCTATGCGAAAATATGGGTTTACCAATGCACTCTGGAACCCCACGCATTCTGGACAAATTCCTAGGCCAATATGCAGATTTACCAATGCATTCTGTGCTTTTACCAGTGCTTAAGCGTTGGTTGGGGGGAGCTCTTGTCGGTGTTGACTTGGAGTGCGGACCAGGTTGGGGCCTGTTGGTCGGGTTTTAATGGGCTTCAGGTTCCAGGCCCAGCAGTTGATGAATCTTTTCTGCGCTGAACTTGATCGGAACATCCAGCCGTGCCAGGCCGGGAGTGCAACCGTACTTAGCCGTACTTGTCATACAATTGGCAGTCTACGCTGTCGCCAAAGCCTTTGATTTCTGGGCTCTTGTCGCCTTAGACTTTCTAGCCTTCGCCTTAGCCTTTGCTTTCGGGGACTTAGCCTTTGATTTCGGGGACAAGTTGTTCAGGTAGGCTTTGTCTTTGCCTCTCTCAAAGCGGGAAAGCAACTTGCCAACATGTTTGGCGCTCCAGGGTTGCCCTTTGTTCGGCCCCTCCCGTACACACCATCTCTTGGGCTTGCGCTTCTTCAAGTCTTTAGCCAGGTGAGTTAGGTTGACGTTGCTGCTTCTGCTTTTCTGGCGGATGTAGTCGTAGAGGTCACGGTCGCCGTCAAAGGAGTTCTTCGGGCCCCCAAGCTTAGGTTTGCCGCTCAAGCTTCGCGGTGCCTGCCCATCGGCCGCCACCTCAGAGCGCTTCTTCTGCCTGCCCTGAGACAACCGATCCCGGATTTGAGCTGCTGTGAACTGCGACACCGACCCCAAGACCTGTCTAAGAAGCACTGCAGTGGGAGATTCGTCATTCATGATGGCGGCCCCTTGATCAGCAGTCTCGACACGCAAGCCTGCTTCTCGCAGCCACTTGAGGCCCGTTTCTTGCACTAGGACGTCACGGGCGAATCTGTCAGCACACTCCAGCAGGATCAAGTGGATACCTTGTTGAATGCAGAACTTCGTCATGCTACAGAAGCCATGTCGATAGATGAGCGGGTCACTGCCAGAGACAGCAGGGTCTGAAAACCGACCACGTACAGTGTACTTTCTCTGTTCTGCGTAGGCCAAGCAGGTACGTAGTTGACGGGATTCTGAGTCCTTTCCCTCACCCACGTTGGCAGCCGAAGACGTCCTCATGTACACAACGCATGTCTGAACCATGGCCGCTAAACTACCGAATTCACCTAGGCCTTAGGTGACTTGAGCCTTGTGCTCCACGCCCTGTGACAGTGAATTGAGCCATGACGATACGCGGCGCAGCGGATACGTCTAATCAGTCTGCTTCGTCTTGCACATGCATGGCAAGCTCCTGTGTCAAGTGCTTCTTGCAAAAATCTGGAGAGAAGCTGCGGACCAGCTTCCCCTGGTTAACATATTCTTGGTCGCCGACCTTCAAGGCTGGATGCACCCTTTGCCAGGCGTGGGCCAAGGAAGCCGGCTGCGCATCCACCCGAAAGAGACAGTTCATAGACCTTGGTTTGACAACCGTGGCATCACTTCGCCCTTCCCGCTTGCAAAGGCACGAAAGCCAGAGCGAGTTTCACAAGAAAGCGTTGGAGATGCACGAGCACAGTGGCAGGCAGACTTCAGATGTGAGCAGCAAGCATCATCCTCCGCAGCTTGAGTTCCAAGAACTCGTCCGGGTTCTGCGTGAGGAACGGAAAACACTCGGTCGGGCGGGTGTGAGCGGCATCGGGTGGCAGAAAAAATGCAGGCAGATGCTGTGGTGCCTTGCAGAGAGCAGCCGCGAGCAGAAGCGTGTCTTGTGGACTCCACGCCGACTTGACAATAACTTTACTGTTTCATGCACGATTATGCAAGACGCCCGGCGGAACAAACTGCGGCTGCGGTATGTGGCAGCAAACAGCCGGATGGAGATTCGCTCAGGCTATCTGTGCACAGTGGATATGTGCGACGCGGGTATGGATTCAAGCGCCATACGCAAGGCAACCGTTTCGGCTTTGCGTCAGTTTGCCACCCCGAAGGCTGACATTGCTTACAATACACATCACCATCCGGTCGGTGCCATTGACGAGTCCTGCCAGTTTTTTCATTCGCTGTGGTCAGTTGCTGAATATTCTTACGATCAGCCGTAGTAACCAGTCAAGCCCCGAATCAGACTAGAAACTTTGAGTTCGTTCATTAGTCTTGGTTTCTCAATGTCAATGACTGAACATATTTAACGATTAATCACTCGCTCAGTTTTCCAGGAGCAGCTTTGCAGCAGCCTGCTGGATTCTGTGGAAGCGTTTGTGAGTGACGCTGCGTATGATGAAGTCAAGGCCGCAAGGCTGCTTCGCGGAAACGGGGGCGATTTTGCCGAGCTGAAGAATCTGCGCATCCTTACGCGGGACAAGCCGCATGCTTCGCGGCGCAACCTCTCCCGTGGTTGGGCTACAGATGCCTTCCTTAACGAGGTTTCGGAGCGCTTTATCTTTGGCCAGAAGAGTCCGGCGCGACTCATAGAGTACAGCCCCATGTTCTCCGCAGTCTTTCAGCAGCGTGTGCAGCAGCTGGAAGATTCGCTGCGGGCTGTCAAGTCGCACCCAAAGCTGGGCGATTTGCGCTTCGCCCCGCATCGTTTCGAATCTGGGAGGAAATTCAGAGTGTTTAAGTCTTTCATTAACGAATCATATAATAAACTACATCGGGCCAATTTTAGCAGTGGCCGTCAAAGAAGGACTCGTGCGCAAGGCCTTGTGGGCGTGCGTGTCTCTTCCTTCATCCACTTCTACTGACTATGGTTCAAGTGGCCAAGGATCGCAAGGGGAAAGAAGAGGGCCAGGCGGCCGCTGATTTTCTGAGCTGGGTTACTCCAGAACGTTGTCTTCAGCTGGCAATGCAGGCAGACGCGGCAGAGGAAAACTTGACATTCACACGCTCCCTTGACCGAGAGGTTTTCCCGCTGGAAGATCTCACTTTCACTGTTGCTGGTTTCCGCGATCGATTGGAAGCCTTGTTTGCTGCAGATTCGCTTGACGAGGCTGTCTGCCTAAAAACGGGCTACACCGCACACATGTTGCGACTTCTCCGACAGCCATTCATGCTGCCGTCCGGTTCCTTCTCATCCGCACAGGGTGTTCCGGCTGGTGTGGTGAAACGTTGCCTTGGTCGAATGGCAAATTGGACATTGGTTGTACGCAAAACATTGGAAGCTGAGTTTCCTGTTTTTGAGACAATCCAGAGTTTCGGAGCCTTCAAAGTGACGCCTACGATTGACAACCGCATGTCTCAAGCATCCTTGGACCGCGTAGCACAGTTTGGGCACTTGGTGGATGTCTTTCGCATCGCGGTGGATTTGGATAACGTGGACGCGGAGTTCATGCGACTGCGTCACATAGCCATGCGGTTCGCTTCGCAGCAAGGGCTTTCCTCAGGACAAGGGATAGACAGTTTAATGTTTTCCTGGCAATATTTTAAATTAAGTTTGGATCAAGAATAATTTGTTTGAGACTAAATTGAAATGAATCAGGGGGCAGAGTATTAGTATTGCACGCAGGTTCTCGCAACCAACGCCGCCAATCCCTGAATCTTGTTTATTATGAAGAGGTAAACAACGCGCTCATAGTAAATCCTAATTCCGTAAGTTAGTTTAGAAACCTCACAGGGCGCCTGTCTAATTCATATCCAAGCCATCCTGGTCAAGCCGAAGCCGAAGCCAATTGAAAAGGTCGACCAGGAATAGTTTGTTCCCGAATTTCCCGAATCCAAACCATAATAATAATAATAACACAGGAGCGGCTTGGGCTGAGACAGTGAAGGCTACAGCCTCGAGGTCCGAGCCACCTCAATCTTTACTGCCGCTTTTGGTTCGGTTTTGGGCGTCCTGTGGTTCCACAAGTGGCGTGGAGCAAAGTTTTTCTCAAGGAAAAGCTGTGCATGAGAGTCTCAGCGACGGTCACCTGAATGACGTGATGGAAGTGCTCGACATCCAGAGTCACGAGGAAGTCTCTGTGATCCAGAGAGCATGCCGATTGTGGACAGAGGTCTATGGCAGGCCACGTTTGGCTGGTCGTGGCAAGCGCTCAATCCGACAAGATGCTGGGAGAAAGAGAATCGTCTGTGAGTCGGCCGGAACGCCCTCAGAAGCAGGCTTTCTGCGAAAAAGATATCGTCAGGTCTCTGAAGCTGCAGGTCAACCGGCCCTGGCATCGTCAGCCAAATATGCTCTGGGCGCAGATGATTGGTCCGCGAAGCATGAAGCTGAGGCGGGGGTTTGGGTGAACCCTATTCTTGATTTCCGGAAGTCCTTGGCCTACCAAAATCTTGTTGCAGCAGAACTGCCGGGTGAGTTTGACGCTGTGTTCATTGTAAGTAAGCCTGGGCCAAATGAAATTTGAATTATTTCTTTCGGGGACTTGTCAATGTACAAGGAAGCGATGTGGATTCAACTAGAATTGAAGCCTGCGATGAGATAGCGCAAACAAAAATAAATCATGAGAGCTTGAACTTCAGCGTCCCACATCCGGAAGGTGAAGTTTGTCGAAGAGAAGCGCCTCCGACGAATGGCGGAGGAGATAGCCGCTGGCAGATTCGACCTTGCGGAAGCGGCATCCACCAGTGACCTGGCCTCCATCCTCGGCATCCTCCAGAAAGACAAGGACAACGACAAGGCGGCCGTGAGAAAGTCTCAGAGGCAAGACCAAGAGCTGGCACGGAGGCAATCGTCGGCTGCAATTGATCGTGTTGCTGCGCTGGACTGCCGGGGCGCGGTACCGCTTCAAAGGCTCACACAAGACGACCGCAATGACAAGGTTTATCTCGTTGAAGATGTGACTAGGGCTCCTGCGCTAGTCCATTGGCAGGCAGTGTTGCTTGGAGGCATCCTTTGCACAAGCCATGTCGGAGGGCCTGCCCTGGCGTTTTTCGCCAGTGTATCCTCCAGGCGCATCCTTTGGTTGAGTGACGGTTTCGTCCGCGACAACAGGGGCCTCAGCCAGCTACTTCTTGCGGGCCTTGAGCGCGCAAACAGCAAGTGGCAGCTTGCGCAAAGTCGACAGCATTTTCTGCAGCGGGCTGTGAGAGTTAAGAATGTGGCGGTTCTCCTGCTGACAGATCCTGAAAAGAGCGACGAGGCCGACGAATTAAAAAGTTTAACCTAACCCAGGGAGGGCCGGCCTGACTCGATTCACATGTACAATACTCCGGGCGCTTGTAAAATATTGCAACATAGAGTGCAACGGTTGATTGAGCTGCCTGTGCCACGTAGTCTCGTGTCAGGTGTGGAGCACAGTGCACCAGAAATTCAACGCCAGTGAGGCTTTGGCTTTTTTCCAAAAAATTGATGCATCCCGCACATGTATGGGAGCGTGTGGCCGCTAAACTCTGAAAGCAAGAAGTGCCAAATTTTGTCCCACGCATGTCTCAGTAGTCATTCTTCTTAGTCTAGCCGTTTCTGTCTCCGCGAACCACCAGGAAGCACGGTTCGGTGTTCATTCTGTATGGAATCTTAGGTCAAACCATTTCCCAGACATCCTGAGAAGTGGTTCTCGTGCACAGATGCTGCATTCAAAGAGTTAAGAGTGAGAAGGGATTGCCTTTCCACTTTGACTTTGACATTGACGTGAATTCCTGGGGGGAAAAAGGTTCTGCAAGGGATGTTGCTCGGGCTAAAATCGGGTACGGATTGATTTGAGCGGTCTATTCTTAATTTGCACTTTTAATAATAATGGTAACAATGATTCATTGATGGAGGGTGGCTGAAATGAAACGGAGTGTGCCCGGAAATCTTGAAGCAGGAGTGCCTGATAGTGCCTGCTTGCATCTGCAGCGCAGCGGCGAACGCAGCCAGTTTCAAGTTTTGAAAGTGCAGTCATGCTCAGGCCTGGCTGGCGACCTTTTCCTCCGTGGCTGCAAACGCGCAAGGGGCCCAGGTTAAGTTCAGCCAGAGCCTTAAGCAAACAAATCCAGGATTCCAGAAATTTGCGGTTGAAATAGCACATGGCGGCACGCGCCGGCTGTTATTTCGGAGCTGGGCGCCCAGCTCCGAAATAAGAGCCCGGCGCGTGCCGCCATGAGACCTGAATGCTTATTTGGCGGTTGTCGCTGGCAAGCGTGTTGGCTGCTACGGCGCCGGGCGCCGGGCCGCTATTTCGGAGCTGGGCGCCCAGCTCCGAAATAGCGGCCGGCGCCCGGCGCCGGTTGTTATTTCGGGAAGCCACGGGCAAATTGCACTTTTCAGCCCTGCAACTACCATGTCATGTCCAGGTCCATGTTTGACATTTGCTGCGCGACGGTGCGCGGTGAGGGTGTTGAGTTCATGCATCGGTGCTGCTGCAGCACATCCGCGGCTCCGCTTTATCAGCTATAGTGTTCGCGCATTTGCCTGCTATGGCACCGAAGCCTAAGGCTAAGGGGCTCGAGCTCAAGGCCGACTACGTCTGGGTGGGGCCGTTTCGAGTGGCTGCTGACACATTGCCGTCCTCAGACCACAATGACGAGGGCATCTCCCATGGCCTAGAAACTCCAGCTGACAAGACGAAGAAGACTAAGAAGGAGGCGGTCGTCGAGAAGCGTGCGCCCGCTGAAGCCTCCTCAGCTGCCGCAGTTAAGAAGGGCAAGGGCAAGGGCAAGGGCAAGGGCGTCAAGGCCGTGTTGCAGTCTCCGCCTGGCACAACGTCTAAGTGTTCACCATCGAAGCCGGTGCTGAAAAAGCCTGCGGCTGCGCGTGTGGCGATGAAGAAGCCTTCTGCGTCGTTTGCCATTGCCGAGTCTGCAGATCTCGGTGACAACATGCGGCTTGGCGGTGCCAGTGACGGTGTTGTGGTGCCGGTCGACAGCGACAGTGTCGAGCTGGTCGAGGACGGGGCGATGGCAGTGTCGCTTAGTGGCGGTGACGCTGGTTCTGGCGCGGCGGTCCCGGAGCCCGATTCCATGAAGAAGGAGTATGGCTGCTCGAAATGCAGACATCGGAGAAAGGGATGCCCTTCCGCTTGCCAAGTTTGGGCCAAGAAAGGCTTGAAAGGGTACCTGACGGCTCCGTGTGGCGATGGGTTGAAGTTCGGGCAGAGCAGTAGCAAAGGAGAAATGCTTCAAAGGCTCCAGGCCGCTAGTCTTTTGCCATGTTACAAATCTTGTTGGAATGATCACTGACAATGACAAAGGATGTCCCGATTTTGATAACAGCTGTCCTTGGGCCCCGGGATGCAGGAGACGTGAAGAAAACAGAATCAAGCCATTGCTCTGTATTCCACAATGTTGCAAAGATGGATTTTGCAGCCAGCCTTATTATCTGCAAAGCAAGCGTGCTGTGCTGACTGTTCTGCGGCTGTTTAGCCTTGAGTAGTGTTGCGGCGCAGATTCAATTTTAGCTCCCCTTTCCGACGAATGGCGCCGAAGATGAAGCGCAAGCCGAACACACCTGAGTTCACAGGCGTGCCCGTCCCCAAGGCCAAATCGATTCGGGAGACGCCCTGTGACGAGGACGATGGCAATGGGCCAGCCAAGAAGAAGATCAGGGGCCGGACGTTGACTGTGTCGAAGCCTTTGGCGACGTTTGCAAAGAGATTGCGGAAAGTGGTCTACGCCAGCGATTGTTCTGGCTTAGATGGAGGGGCCGTTGCCTTGAAGGAGGTCTTGGGAGGCACTGGGTTCGGGCATTGGTTTGGCAGCGAAATCTGCCCCAAGGCCCGACGGGTTTTCTGCGCGTGGCATCCGAAGTGTGAGGTCCTTTACCAGGACCTAACCAAGCGAGATGTGGATGATATGAAGAACCTCTTCCAGCGTGATGTCAAAGAAACATGCTTCATCTACACAGCTGGCTTTCCTTGCCAGCCTTTTGCGAAGTGTGGCTTGCGCCGTGGAGAGGCTGACTCAAGGGCCCAAGTGATTTGGCACATCTTGTACACGGTGGAGGAGTTGCTTCCAGACGTCGTCCTGCTGGAGAACGTCTCCGACCTCGTTGAGTTTCCACGGTACAAAGCTCACTGGGACGAAATCCTGCGCCTCCTGCGGGGCATACACAATCACATCTACAACGTCGAGTTCAAGATCCTCGACTCCTGGTGGTACGGTAGAGTGCCAGCCTCAAGACGGCGCGTCTACTTGGTGGCAACCCGCCGTGACACTTGCGGTTCATGGCAGTGGCCAGCGCAACTACCAGGTGTTCCTCTTGACAGCATCTTGGAGGCAGACCTTCCGGAGGTTGACTTGGCGAAGCTTAGCAAGACAGCTTTGGCTGCCATCAATGCAGCCTTCAATGAGATCAGGAAAAAGTACCCGCAGAGCCAGCCCTTCAAGGAGCCGTGGGTTGTTGATGCTGGGGCGTCGGTGCAGTTCCTGAACTACAAGTATGATTGCCTTCCGTGTGTCATCAAGTCGCATGCCGGCACGCTTTGGCTCATGCACAAGGGTCGCTTCCTCTCCGTCAAGGAGTTGCTGCGCAGTCAAGGCATCGATCTTCATGCCAAGGGTCACAGTCACCTTCAGTGGCCGATACCTGGGGTCACAGATCCTATGATGCGGCAGCTGTTGGGGAATGGCTTCACTGTCACTGTGATCGCTCGAATTTTGCGCAGTGTCTTGCCCGCATGTGCAGTGCATGTCAGCTGACGTGCAGCGTGCGTGATGCCGGAGTTTTGATCCTCATCTGAAGCCTTAAGCAGCTCGGGGTGCAAAACTGCTGAAGTTCATGCTCTGATTCATGACAATGACAGTGAGCGATCTACAAACTACGAAAGTTCAATCGCGGATCCTTAATTTGTCAGGCTCAGGTTGTATTCTTCCCAGGCCTCTCAGTGTGGTGCTATGGGCGGCAAGCGCAAGGCAAGCGACACGGTTCCCAAGGCCAAAGCTGGGGAGAAGAAGGCGGCGAAGGCAAAGGCAAAGCCGAAGCCGCTGGTGGTCAAGCCTTGTACTGAACTCGAGCTCTCCAAGGATTCCCTGAACGCCCACGTCCTCGCACACCTGGCCTCCTGCGATGCTACCACATTGAAGGAGGAGTGCTTCGCAGGCATCCTGGAGGAGCCCCCAAATGGAACTTGCGGGCTGCTGCCGTACGATGCAGGTGTGGCCACCGCCAAGCTATCGAAAGGGGAGCCCTACTGCTGCGCGGCGCCGCTGTGGTGGCTGAACTTGAATTGGGAACTACAGCCTGGGGTGCCCAAGTACAAGTGCCGCCTGGATTGCCTACAGAAGCACTTCTTCAGCAAGGCCGCGTTCATCAAGAAGGAGGTGCTTGTGTACGTGGAAATGCCAGAGCTGCCGCACTTGAACAAAGGGCAGCTTCTTGCTTTCGACAGCCCCGAAATCCGAGACGCCTTTCGTCAGGCACTTGCCGCGGCAGTCAACCATGCTCGTGACATGGAGATCACGGATCGCCAGGAGGCCTTGAAGCCATGGAAGGACGCAATGCTGTCCGTGCCCTTCAGGTTCAAGGCCATCGAGGCCGAGCAGCATGTGACGAACACGTTGTTCAGCCCGGACAGCATCATCCAGGAGCGTGAGGATGTCGGCGTTCTGCACGAGAACATGAGGACTTCCGCTCTCATGAGGTCCTTTGAGGTGATGGACCTCAAGCGTCAGTTAGAGTCTGGGGAGAATGCCGAGAAGCAGACAAAGCAGAGCCTGCGAGACAAGTACTCCGATATCAAGATGGCCAAGGGAAGCGAACCAGTCACTGTTACCTTTGTGGAGCAAGCCCAAATGATACACAACAGCGCGGCCATGAGTTCACCGCGTGTGCGCAACATCCTCCTGAGGTTCGACGAGCAAGGATTAGAGAATCCGATGGACTCGCTCCATAAAATTCGAGAAGTAATCGTGCAGTCCGACAAAACCAAGACCGATAACCTCGAATGGAACTTCGAGATGTTGTTTGACTTTTGGCAGACTTGTTCAGAAGGTGGCGGTAAACGTGACAACATATCACTAGGTCTCCTCGAAGGGAAGATGACCGGGTGGAACGGAAAGAGCTTGCCTCAGCTTTTCCTGTACAAACGCAGCCTGCTGCACTTCCTGTGGAAGACCATGGAGAAGATGACGTGGCATTCAGAGGTGAAGGAGCTCCTTCGCTCGGTCACCGTCAGCGTGGTCGCCTGTCGCCGCCACCTAGGCACGCTTGACAAGCCTGCTGCGTTCGAACAGCGAGCCGGGTGGCCCGAAAGCGCAGACGCGCTCTTGCTCGCAATCGAGAGCCTGGTCTACTCCTACCAGCATGATGAGAAGATCCTGGCCTCTCTGAAGAACAGGAAGTCAGTGGAGGAGTGTCTGAAGCACGCCGACTTGAAACACTTCATGGAAGCAGTGGACAAGACTCCCCCCGACGGCAACGTGGATGATGAAAACGATGGCGTCGGCGAGGGAGAGGACGACGGTGAGTGTGCCGAGGCCGGTTTGAAATACAGTACCTGGCATGTATGTTGAAAATCTGCAAGCAAGCCCGCAGTCAGTACCAGACTAAAAATGTATACGCCGAATCGCTCTGCAGCACCAAATAGTAATCGTTTCGTCAGGAGGAAGGGGGCGACGCGCTGCCCGCCGTGCTTGACTGCAACAGGTCCGCTGCCGAGATGTTCATGCACAACAGCAGCGCGGATACCGACGACAAGGTGCTGGAGATGCGGAACAAGATTAACATGGGCGTGAAGGGAGCGGAGCGCAGGGTGAAAGGCTTGGTGAAGCTGGTGGCTGAGACAAGCGAGTCGAGCGACTTGCAGGCCTTGATCGCCAACACGTCCGCTTTAAAGGTTCAAGGCAGCAAGAAGCATTACAACGTCACTGTGGTTGATGCAAAGCTGCTTTGCGAGAGTGGAGTCCAAGCCAAGTATCGACCCCCTCCAACACGCCAGACGCAACTCACCAAGTTGCTGGAGGCAGCGTATGGCGCCAAAGGCTCCGACTGGACTATCGGCGACGCTATCGTCGCTCTGGATGGTGGCAAAGCAGACTTTGAGGAGAAGATCCTGAAAGCCTTGCCCCAAGCAAAGAAGCTGCGCCTGACGAAGTACTATGTGACCTACACGTCGGAGTCCTTGGAAGGCAGAATCCAGCGGCAGCATCAGGAAACCAGCTTGAACCAGATGGAGTGCGTCTACGTGTTCACTGTGGAGCCGCTCTCGGTGATTGCCAGACCAAGGGCGACTATGCCGACACAGACGACGCGGGGCAATGTCATCGGACCATTGACAGCTGTGAAGTGGAGTGACGCCAAGGAGTGCTGGAACATTCGCTGGGTCGACAAGAAGAAGATGCTGGGCGCAGAGAACCTCGCCGTTCCGGATGAGAAAGGTGAGGAAAAAGCGTGCAAGAACTCCGACGTGATCCCAGCCTTTTTTTGGGAAAGCCCTGAGACGCTCGCCCAGGAGATTTGCCATTCTCTGGGGGCTGTCGCCGTTTTGGACCTGTCCGCAGGCAGCGGGCACTGGGCACTCAGTTGCCTTCGGCTGCGGCTTCCTTATGTCGGAGTAACGCTGACTGCCACGCACAGTTCCATGCTGGAAAAGAAGCTCACGTCCAAGGTGCTCAGCTTGATGTCGGTGTCGGGAAATTCCCTCTTCGACGCTGCCCACGCTTCTGCGCTCCAGGAGGCCACGAAGGGGCAAGAAGAGAACACCAAGAATCAAAAGAAGAGGCCAGCGCCCAAGCCTAAAGTCCGTCCTGAGCCTGCGGTGGGCCAGAATGCTGGAGAAGGTGGGCAAGATGAGGCAGATGGCGCGGCTGGCGGTGGCTCCGGCGGCGGTGAGGAGGGCGAGGGCAACACAAGCAGAGAAGATCTCCTCAAGAAAATCAGAATGACAATGGCCTGAGAAATCCCTTTCAAATCTCAGCCTCCAGCCAGTTTTGTGTCTCGGCCACCATGGCCCTGGCATGGCTGCGAGTTGCACAGACGCTCAGAGCAGGAAAGCCGCAGTTCAGTGAGCCCAAGCCAAAACTACATGCTTGAAGACATGTGCCGAATTCAAAACCACTTGTTAGCTCCCCCAACCGCTGCTCCCAGCCCCACCCAACCAATGCTTAAGTAGCCCTCCCAACCAATGCTTAAGCATTGGTAAAATACAGACTCAATTGGTAAAGTGCATTCGCCCTGGTAATTTGCCGGAGTGTGTAGAGCATGGACAAAAGCATTGGCAAAACCAATTTGGGCCCCCGCCAGGTCGCGAACATGCTCTTCGAAAGCCTGGTGCCCGAAATACGAGCGACAGCAAACGTGACTGCTGCTTTCACTCACCGTGAACAGTAGATTGTTTAATTTCCTGGGCTAGGCTAGAACCATGCACATACCTTCTGTGTGCTGCTGACAGCTATGACCCAAAGACCTCAACTTTGCATCGGCCCTTGCGCATGTGTCGAGGCTTCTGGGCGCCAGGCGCTGCCGCCGTGTTCCTCAGCACGAATCTGAGCGATTGACGTACATCACCAGTGCGTGCGGTGCTCTGAACACTGAGTAGCGACTGCGAGCTAAATCTTATGGCAGCTGATTATGATTAGTTTTGCAAGCTGGACGCAAGTGGCTTGACTCGGCATGCGTCACTGCAGGCTTTTCGGATTTCAGGGGTTAGTTCTGCGGGACTACTTTGCCGACTTCAGTAGGACTGGCCCGATCATGCAGCAGCAAGGCGTCCAAGGACACCATGGTGGCTGGCACGCGTGGAATGGCTCCAGTGAAGGAGACAACAACGGGGGCTGGCACGCGTGGAATGGCGGCTGCAATGCAGGAACAAAGGACGGTGGCTGGCACGCGTGGAACGGCCACAACCAGGATGATGTCGATGAGTGTGAGCCGGCGCCGGAGGACTTCTGGGGCTCCAAGACAACGTCTGACACGCGGAAGCGGGGCCGTTCCCACTTCGAAAGGCAGCTCATCCGCCAGCCTCTCGTTGATGAGAACAAGGTTCTGAGGAGAGAGCTTGCGGAGGCAAAGGCAGGGACATCTTTTTCCAGTCCGTGCAGTTCCTCCTCCTCCTCTCCTCCTCTCCTCCTCTCCTCCTCCCCCCCTCCTCCTCCTCCTCTTCCTCCTGCTCCCAAGTCTTAGTGAGCAGGAGAAGATGTCAAGCCTGAACCAACAGCTGGGGCGAGCCCAGGTTGTGGAGGTTGGCTGATGCCTCAGTGATCGAGAGCTTTGTCGTTCATAGTCCTGGCACAGGACCGTTTGAAGGCCGCAAACAAGTCCCTGGCGGAAGAGAAGGCTGTAAAAGTCAAGGGGCAATAATTACCCCCCCCCCCCCCATCCCTCCCATGTGCCAGGATAAAGTCGCCAAGCTGAAAGCAGAGTGCCCAGGGCCAGAAGGCTTGATGAAGATGGCCTCCTTGATGGACACACGCTTTCAAAGGGTTGAAACGACGAAACTCAAGTCCAAGTCCATCGAAGCTTGGGTAACGTGGGTAACGTAGTGTTGGTGCCTCTGCGTTTCAGGAGCGGAACAAGGACCTGGAGAACTTGCTGGCCTCAGAGCAAGCCAGCGCCCACAAGGCACTGGGAGTGGTGGAGGCTGGTAGAAGACTATCTCTTTCGAACCCAGAAAGTCGATTGGATTAGACTTCTACTGAATCTTCATTGGATAGGACGAGAAGAAGAAGCATGCCCTACTCAAAAAGACCCTTGCAGAGAAGAATGGGTTCATCAAGGCGACTTTGCAAACCATGCCCTCTGTAACTTTGCTTTCGTGCACCAACAATAATAGCCGCTGCATCAGAGGCCAAAGATGGAGAAGTCAAGCAGCTCAAAGATGAGCTCCGCGAAATTCAGGGCATCAAGCAGGCGCACGCTTGTCATTGTGCGTGGAAGTGACACTGACACCAGTGCTTATTTTCGCGCGGTGAGGAGGCGACGAAGGCAAAGGCGGAAAACGTGAGGCTGCAGGTGTGGGGCGGCAGTAATCCTACTAGAATGGCAAACGTTTTATTGAGATTTGTGTACGCTGTATGCTTGACCAGGGAGACAACAATGCCCTCTCGCAGCAGCTCTTGATCATGGAGGACGGGGCAGACTGTATAGCTAGCAAGAAAATCACGTTATGACTTCGCGGCTTCTTTGCACTCTGGGGAGGCCACCGGCGAGCAACGCACGTTGGAGAGCCAGGCGGACCAGGACTGAGTTGCGTGCAACAGTGAAGCTTGAGGTGTTTAGATTCGATTGGTTTGGCAGGAGCTGATTCGCACTCTGCAAGGGAAACTGGACGAGCTGCAGCAAAAGAACACGACCCTGCAGGACCCTCACTGCATGTTCCATGATTCTTAGCTTATGTCTTATGTTTTTATAAGCTGCGTTGCTCTTTACCAAAACTCGCATTGCAGGCTTCCTATGACCAACTGCTGATCGAGAAGCAGGATGCTGAGGAGCCACGGCTAGTTTTTAGTCTTGCTGGGCTGCTGGGCCTAGTACAAAATGCTTTGGCAAGCATGTGTTTTGAATTGTACTTGGCAGGATCGCCATGATGAGTTGCTGAAGTGCAAGTTGGAGGCACCGTGCACATTGTGACATGAAAAGCATATAAGGCATCTTGACTGTGAGAACTAGTAGTCCTAGACTAAGGTGTGCCGCAATGACGTTGAAGAGCCAACCTCGCCTGCCGAATCCCTTGCCCACAACCCGGACGAGCCTGCTTGCAGCAGAGACAGCAGCATGTCCCTGAGCCTAGGTTCCGACAGAAAGGGCTTCACCCGCGAGCGATGATTGAAGCCATGCCCTCGTCACAACCGTCGTTTATGATCCGGCGGATCCTCTTAGTTTGTCAGGAAGTCTGCTGCGCAGCTGATCATTGTCTATCTTCCGAAGCCCGCGGCAAAGCAAAAGCATCCTTCCATCTAAATACCGATTGCGCTGCACTGCCTTTGTCACAAACCCATGCCAGTGGCTTTCAACTTCTATTAAGGTCAGACCCCTTGGCATTCACTCGACACCTGGGCATTCACTGGACGAGCAAAAGCGCGATTTCATTGTGTTGCACACTGCTAGCCGCTAGCGGGGCTGCAGGCGGTTTCCACTGAGACATGGGCGCAAACTGCCGGTCTTGCCCAGGCAGCTCTTCGCCTGGGGCGACAATTTTTCCGGAGGCAGGGTTGGTGTTGCAGAAGGGGGCGCTGTAAGATGAGATGAACATATGCTCAGTTTGAAAATAAGCATACAATCGTCATGATATGATTGTTCAAAGCCGACTGGGCATGATCGAGGCCTCTGGTCTTGCTCTACGCTGCCCGGAGCCCAGAACAGTACCAAACAGAATTCAAACCCGAAAACCAACTCCTGCCACTGTTCAACAAGCAATCCTCAACCGAGTGCCAAGTGCGCAGCTTTATGGCAGATCGTGCCGCTATCACAGCGGTCTTATTTGTTGCCGCTATCACAGCGGTCTGATGTATGTCATTGCTTCCGCTATCGCAGCGGTTTTTCATCATTCCGCTATCGCAGCGGCCAGGAAAGATTCAGCACCATCCCAGTGCATTCAGCTTTGCTCTGCACTATCACAGTGCATCCTGTTAAGGTCGATCATGAAGCCGAGCTTGCCTGCAGGGCCCTGAAAAACGCTGGGTTTAGGGGTTTAGGGCATCTAGGGTTTACCTAGGGGGTGTCAGCCCTCAATAAACACAACCCACTCAAGGGGCTCGGGCTTATGGGCTTAGGGTTTTGGTGGTAAGTTTGGGGATTTAAGTTAGGTTTAGGGTTTAGCTAAGGAGTGTACCTGTAAATCCCGAAAGAAACAGAACACACCCAAGAATGCCCAAGGAATAGGGTTTAGAGCTTAGGGTGTGGGCTTAGGGTTGAGGGTTTAGGCTGGGCTTAGGGTTGAGGGGTTGGGGGTTTAAAGATTTAGGGTTTTAGGGTTTAATTAGGGTTTAATTTAGGGTGTTAAAGTTAAGGGTTTGGGGGTTAGTTCGGGTGTAGGGTTCGGGATTATTGTCGGTCTCAGGGCTTTGCTTGGTGACTGAGGCCAATGCTTCAGAAATGAGGGCCTTGCGGCAAGCCCAGCATGCGATACAATATAAACTTCTGAGCACCTAGGTCGAACTAAGCCCTTTAAGCCTAAGCCCTTTATTAATGCTCACTCAGGAAACTCGCGGACTGAGGCCAATGCGTCCTGCCTGCCTGAAATGCGATGGCACAGCGTGAGACACACACACACACCCATCCTTCGCAAGAACGGAAACGCATCATGTGTGTGTGATCTCGACACAACACACGCTCGCAAACACTGACTCATGATACCAAGTGTACGTGTGTGTGTGTGTGTGTTCCATCACTCTCCCCTTTCCAAGCTTTTAAACCTTAGCCAAAATGATGGGACAAACTTGTATTTTGTAGCAGGAAATTTCACAAAGATGGTGGACAAGCATGGTGTTTTCATTCCAAGCGACCCCTATCAAGAATCCCACGGTTTGCTTAAGCCTTTTGCTTTTCGTTTATGATTTTTTCAATTTTCGAATTGCTCTTTTGGAGCCTTTGCTAAGCAAACCCAAGAGGATGCCATGGCGCGCGAGATCCCGATAGAAAAGATCACGAAGAAGTTCTACAGGACCAACGGCGAGAAGATCTTCGCCAAGACCCCCGAGATGAACGAGAAAGGGAAAGGAAAAGGGAAAGGCAAGGGCAAAGGGCGACGCTTCGACGACTATCGTTGGCAGCCGTACCAAAGCCAAGGCGCTTGGCAAGGCTCTTGGGGGAGCCCGTGGAAGCAGCCTGGATTTGGTGGCTATACCCAGTACGGCGCCTACTACCAGCAGCAGCCGAATGGCGGTGAGAGGTCGTGGCAGCAGCATTCGCACCAGCAGTCGCAGCAGCAGCAGTTCCAGAAGGAGTAGGGACAGCGCGGGCCATCTACGCCTGTGGGTGGACCCGAGTGTTGTGACAAGCCGGAAGGCATCATCTTGAAGCCCAATCCGCGGTGGTTGGCCGAGGAGGCCAAAGCTCAGCAGCTTCGGGAGCGCCCACGCTCACGCTCGAGACAGCGCCGCCAGCAAAGGCCCGCGCGCGCTCAGTGCGATCTCATTTTGCTCAGCTTCTTCGATGGGGTCGGATCGGCGTTGATCATATGCGAGCGCATCTGTCAAGAGAAAGACTGGCAATGGCGTGCGTTAGTGTGGGAGACTGATGAGGACCTAGTGAAGCTCACTTCGGATCGTTTCTCGAACATCGAGCACCGGGGCGATTTCGACTGTGATAGCGTTGGAAAGGTCATCGAGACACTGGAACAACTGGATCCACGCCATGAAGCTAGGATTGTCATTGCAGGTGGGCCCCCGTGCCACGATAGCTCGCGAATTCGCCAGAATCCTCCTGGCCTTCAAGGAGAAGAAGGTTCCAAGGCCATGCGCTTTGCTGAGTTTGTGCGAGAGCTGGAAGCCACTTGGAATTATCCGCAAGCCATCCTTGTCGTGGAGAATGTGGTGCCGAAGAACAAGCAAGATGTGCGAGTGCTTGAGACCAAGTTGTCTGCGTCAGCGGTGGTCGCGGATGCGTCCGACCTAGGCGTCATTTCACGGCCTCGCCTCTGGTGGTCGAGAACCCCTTGGCAAGAATTTTCGAACCGGCGTGATCGTCCAGTGGATGTTCGTTGGTCAACGTATCAAGGTGTGCCGCGCGCGAGCTTCGTGCAACCCAAGGACAACCTGGCCCTCTACGACCTCGGCGGCCTGCAATGGCCGAGCAATGTGACGAAGAAAGGCGAAACACTGCCATGTCTGACAACACCATCAGAAGATCCGTGTGGTCGGTCGGCCCCAAAGAGCTACAAAGGGAAAGCCGATTCCCAAACGCAAGCCAGATGGCTGAATGATGGACGTCAATACGCGCCGTGGCATTATGAAGAAGGGAATCTTTTCATCGTGCCGGAGACCAACGCGCTGGTGATGGCGCCCGCCGAAGTGAAGGAGCAACTGCAGCATCTGCCCAAGGGATGGACGGCGTCGCTCCCCGACAAGCAACGTCATCGTGCACTTGCCAATGGCTGGCACTTGGGCGTAGCCAAGTGGTTCTTCATTCTTGGATTGTTTGCGGCCGACCCTGTCACGAAGGTAGCTGCGTTGCCTTCGCCTTCGCGTGAACTTTCACCATTGGGATCCAGAGCTCTGGAGGGCATGGCGAGATTGTGGGAGTCGTCGCCGCTACTCAGTGGGCCCGGCGTCCCGGTCCTGTGCGAGGCGTTGGACCTTTCGGCCATCGACGACATGAATGAACATTGGGCGGCGGCGGAGTTCGCTTTGCACTCAGATCAGACGCGACCTCTTCTAGAACCAGGCCTGGATCAGTGGCTGCCTTTATGGAAGCACTGGAAGCCCTACCTGGCGGAGATTAGGAAGGGCGTTGCGGCCGTGGCTGACGTGCGCACGTTAGTGGAGGAGATGCAGCCCGAGGTGGATGCGTGGTTCCAAAATTTGGAGCCGCATGTTAAATTGGCCTATGGCTCGAAAACAGGAACGTGCACAGTCAAAGTCCCCGTGATAGCCAAGATTGCCAAGATGTTCGGTTGGCAGGATGATTCTCTGTTCCAAGAGATGAGCAGTGGTTTTCCTCTCCTTGGTCACATCAATCCCGGTCTGGGATGGCGCCTTCGCCACGATGAGCGGTACAGCGACCCGGTTGACCTCGAAACGTTCCAAGCAGACAATTTCCAGTATGTGCAGAAGAAGCTCAAGCAGGCCAGGGTAGATCCATTCTGGCAAACCATGGCTGAGGAGATTGCAGCAGATGTCAAAGCAGGCAGGATGGAAGGTCCTTTCGCGGTGCCTTCCTCGTGGAGCAAGGAGACAGTGGCGTTGCCTGACTATACTCACACCGCTGAGCTTCTCCCGGCGCCGTCTTGCCACGAACACACATGCTTCGCTTTCTCCGTGCAACAGGTAGGGTCCGATGGGCGACGCAAAGTCCGGCGAGCAGAGGATTGGCGCCGTTCCGGGGGCAACAAAACCGTCAACGTGCCAGACACACCTGCGTACCATAGCATTGAAGCCTTCATTGCTGTCATACGAGCGCTTCGACACCTGGGAGAAGAAGGCGCCATAGCAACGTGGGGACTCGACCATGAGTCGGCGTATCGTCAACTTCCTGTGCTTCGACCAGCCGATACCTACGTGGTGCTGCAGACGCCGCGGGGCCCGACACTCTGGCGACATCGAGTCTTAATGTTTGGGTCGGTTGCCAGCGTCTGGGGCTACTGCCGTGTGGCGGATTGGATGGCCTGGGCCAGCCGCTGTCTTCTTCTCACACCAGCGTTGCACTTCGTGGATGATTTCGGAGCTCCAGAAACATGCCCAGAAGCAGACACCAGCTTTCAGTACGTGCAGACAGTGTGTTCCGATTTCGGGTTTCGCTTCAAGCAGTCCAAGGCGCAGCCACCAGCTCAGAGACAGCAGCTACAAGGCGTTTCCCTCACTGTTCACAAGGACCATGTCGTCGTGGAGGCCACCAGAGACCGGGTAGCCCGCCTTGATAACCAGATCCTTGAGGCTTTGATGGAGGACAGATTGACGCCGACGCAGGCGGCAACCTTGGCCGGAAAGCTGCAGTTCGTGGCGCAGTCATTGTTTGGGCAGTCGAGCAAAGCTTCTCTTCGACCTCTACACCAACGAGCAGCTGCAGCGTACTATCGGTCTTCCCAAACCGGGTGGAGGTTGAGTCCCGGTCTTCGCAGCGCGTTGGAGTTCCTCCGCTTCGCCCTCGCCGTGCAAAAGCCGCGGAAAGTGCTCTTTAAGTCAGAGGACCGGGCCATCATCTACGCGGATGCCTTCTTCCAGCTCGACGGCAAAGTCGTGAAGATCGGGGACGCTGAAGATGTGCATTGGGGGCAGACGAACCCAGCAGCGTTTTGCAACGGCTTTGGCTTCGTTGTCAAGACCGGAGAGAGGGTTTGGTATGCCGCGGGCAGTGTGCCGTACTGGTTCCTAAGGCATTTTTGTTCCAGGAGAGCATACATCTTTGTCTTGGAGGCGATCGCTCAGATCTTGCCAGTCCTTGCCTTGCAGCAGTGGCTGCCGAAGCAGCTGCTTCTTTTCATGGACAACGAGCCTTCCCGACGAGCTCTGGTGCGTGGATACGGCAGAGATGACAGCGTCAACAAATTGATGCAAGTGGCCTGGCGCTTCTTCGAGGAGGAGGAGTTTCGGCCGGAATGGCAGCGTGTGACGTCCTCGGCGAACATCAGTGATAAGGTCAGCCGCTTCGACTTTGCTGACGCCGAGAACATGGGGTGGACATGGCTGCAGCATGATTGGGAAGCTGAACTTCTTCGTCTTCTGAATGCGGTGAAGGAGGGTCCCTTACGTGCAAAGGGATAGCTAGGTTTGGCGTTGGTTGGCGGTGGCTTGTAGGGCTTTTTGTTTTGGGCTTCAGGTGCGTAAACATGGTGGCAGTCGTCGCACCTTTGGTGCACGAGGCCAGCAGTCTATAAGAGGCTCTGTGTCCTCGCTTGCGCCGCCTGCCTGAAGCGCTGATTGTCCAACTCGATGCAAAAGAGTGTTCGTCTTGCCTTTTGCATAGTTTCCTGCGGAGTAGGAAGCATGTCTTGGAGTGCACGCGTGCACGTAATGACATGGAAGCGAACGGATCCGCAGCCATGCGAAGGATCCGACAGGTGCCTCTTTTCGAAAGCCCACCCTCGCCACCCATTTGAAATCATTTGAACCAATCTTGCTGAGACCAGCAGTCTATAAGAGGCTCTGTGTCCTCGCTTGCGCCGCCTGCCTGAAGCGCTGATTGTCCAACTCGATGCAAAAGAGTGTTCGTCTTGCCTTTTGCATAGTTTCCTGCGGAGTAGGAAGCATGTCAAGCCCCTGCGATGTCCTGTGACTTTTGCTGCTTGTGGAGCTACGGCGTCCATTTTCATGCATGGAGCCCTGAAGCCAGTACGCGCAAACAGTTGCAAGAGCCTCTACACCCTGGGCTAAACCATGATTCTTCCCACACACACACACACACACACCCACACACACACACACACACACACACACCCCGACACCGAGCCGGATCCGTTGAACCTTGGACGCTCGACGCCAGCTTCCGAGGTCTTTGGGTGTAGAGGGTGTAGGTTCCCTGGTTTAGGATCTATAGGGCTTAGGGTTTATGAGCTTAACGCCAGCCCAAGGACAGCGTGAAGTTTGATGAAGCCACCGGTCGGGCCTGGTTCCTGCCATGCCGGCCAGGGCTTGCCAGTCGGGGTTCAGGGTTTGTAGGGTTTTAGTGTTTACAGGGTTTATAGGGTTTATGGGGTTCATAGGATTTAGGGTTTGTAGGGTTTAGGGTTTAGGCTGTAGGGTCTAGGGGCTGCAGAACAGGGACAGACCTGACCCATCTGCAACCTCCCGGCTCGCGGCGCCTCAATTCTTCTCTTGCAGGCTCCCCACAAGTGGGGGGTTTAGGACAATGAGGGGGCCCCCCGAATAGTAGGATCCCTTATATAAAGGAGCCCAAGAAGGTACCCCCAACTTCGGAAGCCCAGAACTCAGACCTGGCTTTGATTCAAAAGAGGGGGAGAGCAACCCTAATAAACCTCACTGAATGATGGTTTTGTGTTTCGGGTTTGGTTTCTCTAAGCCAGATAGTAGTAAGCCCTATAGCCTATAAACGCTACACTCGCACATGGCAGGCTGTACAACTCCACCATGAGCCACACGAAAGAGGCGGGCGCGAACTTGGATTCAACCCGTCCCGAAGGCCTCCCCAAACAAGGCCCCAATGAAGCCCATGCATCGCACAAACTAGGATTTTGGGGTTTAGGGGTGTTCCTGGCAGAATTTCAGGTTTTCGGCTCCTTCGCGCAAGCCGTTCCCACATGCCTACAGAACAGCACTTTGGCAATGCCGCGGTCCCAAAAGCCAGGCTCCTGGCTCACCCATTTATCTGGGTCCTTGTTGGTTATGTTTTTGCATTTTTGTCCTAGTAAATTCCCAATAAGGAATAAACATGATAGTGGTTAACTAGTGTTTGGGTCGAGAGTTGAAGCCATAAAGCCTAAGCCCTGAGCCCTAAACCCTAAACCCTAAGCTCTAGCGATGTGCTCTCACGCCTCACGCCGACAGGGATGGGTGCTCCTGCTCGATGCCACTCGCGGCTTGCAGGCAGAGCATCCAACGCATTAGGGTTTAGGGCTTAGGGTTTAGGGTTTAGGGTTTAGGGTTTAAAGCGATTATGGGGGGGGGTCGAACTGCGCAAACTTTTGCCGGGCTTCCATCACCTTCCAGGAGCATTGTCTATGCACATGGGGTTTCCGAAATCAGGGGTACCTTTGTGGGGTCCTTATCATAAGGGAATCCTGTAGGATTCTGGTGTCAATGATGGGGGTCCCTTACTTTCGTAAACTCCCACGTCATTTGACAAGATGTACGAGATTCCCGCAGCAGATGGTACTTGGGGGCGCGTAGGTTGAGTTCAACTACTTCAGTTTTCTAGCTTTCTGGGAACCCTGAACCCTATAAACCCTAAACCCCAAACTTGAAGGCTGCAGGATTCCCGGGGCTAGATCTCAAATCAGTCCGCCAAAGCAGCGGCAATGGCCGCATGATTGATGTTCATAAACAATGCTCATAGTATAGGGTTTTAGGATTTAGGGTTTAGGGTTTAGGGTTTTTAGGAGATATTTGTTGCAAGCTGCTGCTTGCAGGCTGTGTCCTCGCCCCTTTGCGTATCTGAGCTTCGCCGCTGTGCACTGTAGATTTGTCCCAGAGCCAGACCCTAGATCCAAACAACAATCCCCTCAACACTCTCACCAACCCTAAACCCTAAACCCTAAAACCTACACCCTAAACCCTAAACCCTAAACCTAAGCCCTGAACTAGCTAGTTTCGGCTCGCATCCTGCGGGCGCCGTCCGGGCTGCCAGAAATCGTGGCGCCTTCTACGCACACAGCCAGGGCTTCTCGACAAAGAGCCATCCCATCCATCCTTGCCATACGAATGACTCGGTATTGGGGTTGAGGGGATCACATTCAGGAATATGTTTAAGAGGGTTTTAAGGGCCATCCTAGATTAAACTCACTCAACCCACGCAGTAGGTTTGGGGTTCTTATGAGTTTTGCCAGACCGTGGGGTGTGGAAGGTTCAGACAAAGACCCAGATGGAAGGCAGGCAGCATATCTTCCACAGTATTCCTGCGGACAGCGCAGGAACTTGCAGCCCTAAGCCCTAAACCCTAAACCCTAATCCCTAAACCCTGAACCCCTAACCCTAAACCCTAAACCCCAAGACCCCTAACACGGGCCCTCGGCACCTTAAACCCTTCTTATGTTGGGTGGAGCATGGTGCGAGGAGCCCTTTTCAACACTCTTTAGGTCGCCCCGGGAGTCGTCGTTTACGGGAGGTGCACGCATGGTAGGGAGCTCCAAGCCCCAGATGTATCGTGCGAAGGGCTGCTAACAGCTTGAGATGTAGCTCCTTCCCCTGTGTTTTGAGGTTTAGGGGTTTAGGGTTTAGGGTTTAGGGTTTAGGGGTATACTTCTCCGTGCAGGGCAGCTCCTGAACCAGTCGAAATCCCTGAGCCCCAAGCCCTACATGGCCGAAACGCAAGCAGAGCTTCCGTTTTGACAGCGACCTGGTAAGCGATGTGCCATGATGTGCCTCCTCAACTGGCATCCGGGCACTGTCTTGTACAGATGCAGGGGTGGCAGGTCTCGGTATGTCTCGGTGCGGAGGGCCCTCGACCCTGACCCTATGAGCAACATGAGGGACAGATCGGAGTTCCGGGAGCGTGATGGGCAGCCTTCTGCAAGATGTCGATATCCCAGGGATGCACAGACCTCGCCCTTTTTCTCACGCCATCTCTTTACAGTAAACTGCGGGCATGATCCGTGCATTCCGACGCCGAAATGGTGTCCTATTCACTACAGGCTTAAAGGCTTGCTGGGGCCTGACACCTCTACGTAAGACTCTACGATTTGAGGTACTCAAGGGTACTTTGGTGGGGGTGGTCAAGGTATGACATTCAGGTCTAGAGTTGAGCGTCTAGGAAGAGATTTCAAGCTTGTTCTTCAAGAAGGCACCTGCTTCAAGTCGCGTGAAGTGTCCAAATGCAGCTCCTACACTGAAACGGTGTAGGATGCGAGGATTCCATGAATTTGTTGTTCCTGCTGGGGCCCAGCATTCATGGTACGCCGCGCCTGCCTCACTGTGCAGCAGGGGCCGTGTTCAGGGAATCCCCCCCCATGTAGGAAGTGCGAATTTCATCCAAGCAACCAGAGGGCGCCGGATCTTTCAGAGCCGCCCTTGAAGCAGGTTTTTGGGTTCTCAAGTTCAGACTTGACTCCCCAATCTCTAATCTTGGCGAATCTTGGCTGTGGCGAAAGCATCGCCCTTCGGCTAGAGAGTGTCCGAGCCAAAGCACGCTCTCCGCGCAAGTAGCTAGCTGCGAAAATGAAGTAGGGATTTGGGTTTAGGGTTTATAGGGTAGAGAGAGAGAGAAGTGACCCCGTAAAGCCGCTCGTTCATGCGTACTTTCCTTCATACGCTGCATCACCTGTTCTATCTCATTACGGGCTCACTTGGTTAACGAAGGTTAGTATATGAACGAGCCTGTGGATTTATAATTTATGTCTTCTGTCTCTTTTACTTTAATCCGTTCAATCCGTTCGCCCTTAAACGGGCCCCCCGCCCCCCCCTCCCCCCCCCCCAGTAGAAACTCAAGATGTGTTCTTATTATTAGGGGGATGCTGTTATCCAAATGTCACGTTTGCAGTCTAAAGGGTTTAGGGTCTAGGCTTCAGGGTTTGGAGGGTTTAAGTAATTTCGTAGGTAATTTGGGTGTAAACTGTTTGGGAGAGAGAGAGAGAGAGAGAGCAGGATGTTGGTTGGTTTGAGGCTTTTGGGACCCCTCAACCCACCCGCCTATTTCGGAATGGGGTTTAAAAAGGTTTGGTCGGTTTCGGCAGGATTTCCGGAAAGTGTTTCTTATAATTCGGGTGTTATTTAATGAAAGGGGGGGAAGCGACTACTAATTACAATTCACTTCTTTCTTATTATCTTCCTTCTTCTCATGATAGGTCTTTTTCACGTTTACGGTTTAGGGTTTAGGGTCTGGGGCTTCCCGGGTACTACAAGCAGGGTGTTCCAGCCCGACATCTCCTTCTAGTTCCCCCAATTTTTTCTTCACAAAGTTCGGACCAAGGCAGATGTAGAAGCTAGAAACCTTGTTCTGGGTTCGCTAAATTTCAATGTAGTATGATACGTTCATATCTTGAGAATTGTTCTGTTGACTACTTGTGCTGCTTAAAAAAGCAGTTGTGTTTGTTCTGCCCTGCTTCGAAGACGAACACCAGGGGGTCTAAGGAAGGCTTCCGAGAAACAAGAAC